GCATGTATACTATGTGGAATCTAGTTGGATAAGATTTCCTGTAGAAAATCAGGGGGGGACGCAACTGGCCCTCCTGCCCCCCCCCCCCCCCTAAATGATGCCCATGTGAAAAAGTAGTAGATACTCGATTTTTTTTTCATGTTGTTCCATTTTTGAAGATGAAATTTCTTTGTTATTTGAATAATTAGGAAAAATCGAATATTTTGACAGTTTTTCAGAGACTAAAGCATATATTACTGTTTTCAATACATTATTATGTGTTCGTTTCGATAACACACTGTATGGAGCGGTGCATGAAATTTTCGCAGTTGTGTTCGAGACATGTTCGAAAATATATTATTAGTTATTTATGTATCAAGGGCGTAAAGTAGGCGTTTATGGCCTGTGGCGTGAATAATGGCCCGATGGCGCTAGCCGAGGGCCATTACACGCTCAAGGCCATAAACGCATTTCACGCACGTGATACATACAAAATTTTATGCACTAGTGGTTCATTTTCTGACTCAAAAGTAATGACTATAGATTTCCATAAACTAATATTCCCCCGAATTTGGTTTGTTGCGTATAAATTCAGTAATCAAGAGAAGGGTAATGTTCATGATGATGATGATTTACATATGAAAATTATCGTACGAATATTGCAATTATCGTAATAGTAAAACTCTTTGATCTCTAGAAGAGATTCATTCTTCAGAATTTTACAATATGCATACCCAGTATATATACCTAACTAATTTTGACGTTGTCAATCAAGCTGATGGTTGTTGTCTATATCAATACATCCAATAAACGAGCTGAATTGTCATTCTTTGACTGAAAAGTAAAAATTAGTGATAATAATAATAGCGATAGATATGGAATCGGATAGAGAAGAAGTTTATGATATACCGCTGGATATATTAGAATCTAGGAAAATGATCATAGTTTTTTCATGAATTGATATGTGGATATGAGGTAACTGAGAACAGCGGGCGGTAAAGTGCACTTTACGGCCCGTGGGCCATAATGAGCCCGCGGGCGGTAAAGTGCGACTTAACGCCCGCAATACCGGGCGGTAAAGTGCACTTTACGGCCCGCTAGTGCATAAAGTAATTTTCTGCCAGGCGTAGATGGATCAATGCAGGCGTATTGCTAAAAATTGTAATTTTTTTAATTCTCATTATTTTCTTGAAATTTGCAATTTTTCAATTTATTACGGCATGGCAATCACCCTGTGTGAATTCTATAACTGTTAATGTGAACTGAAGTATGCCACTGTTATACAAGTTGTCCTTTATTCTTTCAGAATGGGTATTTCGATGAGACTATAATCTGTTCTTTTGTATTGGAGATTCTTAGGCCCAAAAGCACAATGTTTATGGAGGTTGCATGGCATAGAATATATCGCCGTTATTTTCTTTTGTGTGGAAAATTTATACTCACAGAAAGTATAATAATATAGCAGACCTATCTGAAAATTATATAATAATTACGCAACAATTACGGAAAAAATATCTATATATATAGGCATGTACGTATGTTGTTCCATTTGTGTCAATTCCCATGAGTATCGAAAATATACCGTAATATCAGAGCATAAGGATTGTAATATCCCCGGAAGAGAAACCTGCCTACTTTGTTGCAAAGAGTTGGTTAAAGTTTAATATTGCGTGGTCTGTGCCATCTTTTATAATAATTATTGAACACAGAAAACTACATAATAATATAATATCAGCCATTCACCATTTACAATACTTGAAAATATTACCCATTATCGACACTGACCAATTTATTAAGACCGGATACAGTTTTCAACCAATTCAATGTTTTTCGTTTCAGCAGAATGACTAACGTATTTTTCTGCAACCGACACTAAAGTCGTCCATTTTAATACCAAACTTAGCTCTTGAATTGACGTTTCTATTACTGACACGAACATAGGTATGTTGCTAGACAACACTTTCAGTTATATATATACAGGGTGTTTCACAGGTAAAGGGAAATATCTCAATGGTACATAGGGGTCACCAAGGTGGTTCTGAAAATACGATATTTCATTGGTCTTAGGATCTTTATAACGGAGATACAGGGCGATTTATCAATTTCGAATGAGTTTGCATTCGTTTATAAGTATCGAATTACCCAGTATATTTTCCTCCAATTTGGTATGGAGCTTATACTTGGGACGTTGAATTTATTCACCTATCGGGTGGGGTGAAAGTCCAGGTTCGGCTTCAGAAAAAATTTACATTTATTCGAAATATTAAAATAACACACGGTATGTAATAATTGAGAGAATTCAACAAAGGACTCGTGAAGAGGAGGAAAAACTGAATTGGATTTGATGCTTTTTATTTTCCCGCCACCAAATCTCATCGTAACAATCATGCATAAACAGAAAGTTGAAAGTATGTCAATTTGAAGAATATTAAAATTATGAAACCATCGCAGTTTTAATTATGATTATTTTAGTTGAATGATCGCTCGAAATAACTTACTACTGAGTATCACAGTCTTTATAACGGAGATACAGGGTGAATTATCAGTTTCGAATAATAATTATTCACACGCCCATAAGTATTGAACTACCCAGTAATATTTTCTCAAAATTTGGTATGGACCTTACTTGGGAACTTGGATTCATTGACCTATCCGGCGAAATGGAAATACAGGTTCAGCTGCAGGAAAAGTCTCACAGTATTTATTACGGAGATACAGGGTGAATTATCGAATTCTAATTAATTGATATCTTCTAGTTGAATAATCGCTAAAAGTATATATCAAATCCAATTCAGTTCTTTCACCCGTTCACGAAAATTCTTTTGATGAACTTTGTTTTATTAAATACAGTATATTTTTTTATATTTCGAATGAATGTAAATTTTTCTTGAAGCATATCCTGTATTTCCATTTCACCCGATAGGTCAATGGATGATGAGTAAATAATTATTCGAAACCGATAATTCACCCTGTATCTCTGTTATGAAGACTCTAAGACCTATCAAATATATGGTATTTTCAGAACCACCTTGGTGACCCCTATGTACTGTAAGTTCTTTTGAACGATCATTTAACTAAAATATATCGAACAATCATAATTAAAACTGGTTTTATAATTTTAATACTCTTCAAATTGACATACTTTTAACTTTCTGTTTATGATTGTTACGATGCGAATTGGTGGCGGGAAAACAAAAAGCATCAAATCCAATTCAGTTTTTCCTCCTCTTCACGATTCTTTCATACAGTGTGTTATTTCAATATTCCGAATAAATGTAAATTTTTCCTGAAGCCGAACCTGGATTTTCGCTCCGCCCGATAGGTGAATGAATTCGACGTCCCAAGTTCGAGAGAAAATATACCGGGTAGTTCAATACTTATAGACGAATGAATAATTATTCGAAATCGATAAATCGCCCTGTATCTCCGTTATGAAGACTCTAAGACCTATCAAATATGGTATTTCCAGAACCACTACCTTGGTGACCCCTATGTATTTCCCTTTACCTGTGGAACACTCTGTATATATATACGCGTCATCTTATAATAATACCTGATATATTTTAAAAACTTATTTACTTCCTCTTTGGAAAACCAACTACATGAATAGAACATTTTTAATCAGGTCGTGTATAGAAAAATCTGTCCTGTTTGAAATTAAATGACTTTGAAACGACTGAAAAGCCCAAAAAACTCAACTAGGAGTAAGTTCATCATCGGTAATTGAATTAAACGAGAATTAATAAAAATCTTCTCAAAAAGATCTCCATCGAGGCAATAAGCCATCAAAAGGAAGGACATAGAGAGGCATAATTATGAATGTCGATTTGACTTTGACATTTGACATGACAGTGTTGACAATTTTGAAGTGAAAATGAAAACCAAATATGAAAAACGAATAGAATCAAAGCAAACAGTATTGAAGTTTTAACATCAGAAATTGCGCTTTTATTTATGTAGTTATTAAATGAATACAAAAAGCTCAAACTCATATCCACACGATGATCATAAAATGAACAACAATGGTAGATTTCGAGAGAAAAACAATTACTTTACTGACCAATGTCAAGTAGAACATTGAAGTACATCCTCCCGAAATCTATGCATCGACTCGTATAAACGAATACTGAAACAAGTAAATCCTTCCTGAATGCCTATAGATTTCGATATAGCTAGGCTACGCCAGACACCTACAGACCAGTTTCGAGCTCTTTGACTGCCATCAGTACAGGGCATTCTCCAGCCAACAGTCCTAAGATCGCCGACTGAGCGTAGCCTAGCCAAACAAACATCAAGTCAGCACTATATTCCCCCAGATGCGTCCTTCCTAATAGCCACAATGCTCGAAGTGTAATGAAATGTTGAATAAATACAGAAACCTCAAAGTCATATCCACACAAGGTTCACAAAATAAACAATGGTAGAACGGGAGAAAAACAACTACTTTCCTGGATAATGCCAGGTAGAACATTGAATTACATTCGCCCGAAATCTATGCATCGACTCGTATAAACGAATACTGATACAAGTGATTCTTTCCTGAATGCCTACTGAATTCGATTTAGACAGGCCACGCTAGACACCTACAGACCGGTCGAGCTCTTTGACCCTCATCACTGAAGGGCAGTCTCCAGCCAGCAGTCCTAAGACCGATCTTTATAATTTCCAGGTACTTCTTCCTTACTATTATGTCTGGAGATGACCTTGGTGCCGAAACTAGTCAGACACATGAGTGTTAAATTAAATTTTGTGGTCGACCGACTTTGAGTTTGTTCCTCTCTTTCCTTCACTTTGAGAATGAATGGTGTTCATACTTGTCTAATTTTGATATTCCTATCTACTGAACATTGTAGTGAACAATAACAATAATATCTTATTCAATAAGAAAACAATACAACGTGTGAAAATGAAAATATACGCCTATTTCTTCTTCTGGTATAAACTTCAAATCCACTAATTATTCTTCAGTTTCAATCATTCAATGAGTGTGCTCAAGCTGTATCAGTGTTCGCATTTTGAACATGATTTTCGGTCTACTACGAGAATTTGATCCGTACGTTACAGATTGGACAGTGTTCAAAAGTCAGCTAGAAAACTTCTTTTTCGCCAACAACATATCCAACGACAACTTTAAACGCGCCATATTTTTGAATACTGTAAATCAAGAAAGTTTCAAACTGTTATTGACACTTTGCCATCCGCTGAAACCAGAAATCACCCCATTCAGCAAGATATTATCTCTATTTGACCATCAATTCGCTGATCCTTTATTCTTGAGGAGATTCGAGTTCTTCAACGCTAGGAGAGATCAGGAAGAATCCCTGGATAAATGGATAGAGCGAGTCAAATCTTTAGCCAGAGCCTGCGCATTCGATGGTTTAGAACTGGATAAGTACTCTAAAGAAGTGTTTCTTAGCGGCTTGAACAATTCCAGCTTCTTCCAATTGTTCGAGAATATAGCTGATGCCACTTTTGAAGAGTTTGTTGAAGTGGTGCGGAAGAACATAGTTATGAATGACGAGGGTACCGAGGATTGTTCCAGGTACTACAATCAGGAACTTTGCTACAACCAATTTTATGCTGGACTATGTCCAGGACCTATCTATTTTTCGTATGGTGCGATGGAAAGATTCTGTGTCAATCCATATCATTATCAACAATAAGTAATAAGTGTCCAGTTCGTTTGTATGAATTCTTCTTTGATTATTTAATTTTCATTCAAAGGTGTGTATGTGTATACTCAGTTCCACAGCTAAATTATTTGAAGATGTCATGATGCTATTTATCGATCAAGTTGAACGCTATAAGTGTGAATTTGTTATAACAACTTTGTACTCATAAATTGCCAATGAACGTAGGTATTCGAGAATAACTACATTGAATATAACATGGAACAATATTTTTTTTATTTTGTCTACATGCAATAACAATGCACATTCATTCATTATGTGTTCAATTTGCAAAATTATTAGGTAACACTAGGAAACGGAAAGGTGACCATGTGTTTCATAAGCAAAAGAGATAATTGTCATTCAAAATAGAAAAAACAGTTAAAAATGACATAACCTAATTTTTCGATGTCCATGAATGTTATTGCATATTTGAGTATATACCTTTTCAACTTCAATTTCGGAATTGGTAAGTTATATTTCGGAAAAAGTAATCTCGATTTCGGAATTGGTTAGTTCGATTTCAGAAATGGTAAACTCAATTTCAGAATCGGTGAGATGAATTTCAGAGAAAGTCCATTCAATTTCAGAAATGTTAAGTTGTATTTCAGAATTGGTAGGTTCAATTTCAGAAAATAAATCCTTATATTTGTTTGAAATGTTTCCAATTGCATGTGAGATTAACAAACCATATTTACAATATTCAACTTTTCGAAAACAATTCAATAACATAATTATAATCTCAATTTGATCCACAGATGTCTTCCATCCGAATCGCAGAAGGATAGTAGCGTAGCACATGATTATAAGAATGCAAACACATTTGAGGTGTTATCATTTTCATTGAATGATCTGCACATTCTTCAAGACATCGCAGTCTGAATTCTATCTGGTTGAGCAATCTGTTCGGATCCCCAGCTATGACCCTTTGGCGATGCTCTTGCAAAAAGCTCTTCACTTCTGACTTGAAGGCACTCCATATATGTTCAATCGGATTAAACATAGGGCTGTAAGGTGCCAATCTGTGAAATATAACATCTTGAAATTCTTCCTCCATGCATATCTCTTCTATTCTTGAATGTGCAGGTGCATTATCCAGAACTACCACTATGGTATCTGCAGGATGCCCATTTCAAACGCACACTCTCAAACACCGTTCCATCAACTGTAAACAATCCTCTCTTTTGCAATTGAAAATATTTCAAACATATATAGGGATTCATCTTCTGAAATTGAACCTACCAATTCTGAAATACAACTTACCATTTCTGAAATTGAATGGACTTTTTCTGAAATTCATCTCACCGATTCCGAAATTGAGTTCACCATTTCTGAAATCGAACTAACCAATCCTGAAATCGAGATTACTTTTTCCGAAATATAACTCACCGATTCCGAGATTGAAGTTGAAAAGGTATAGTTTTGAGTTCTGAACAACTTTTTTCGGTAAAACTGCACTTATCATGCGATGAGTTCTTTTTTCGAAAATTTTTTTGGTACCAACGTATTTCTGTCTGAAAAACACGAATTTGATAATGAAAATGAACAAACCACTATTCATCTTTTCCCCCTGTGTTGGATGCATTTACAGCTACTTGCTCTTCTTATTTTGTCATTGGACACTTTATAAACTCGCATGATGTACTTGAATGACACATCTTTATAATATAGAAAATTCAACAGGAAGTATATGATTTTTATGGTTTTTCATATTAAGTGAACAATCATAACAGATAACGGCAATTTAATCAATAGTCAATCCAAATACGAGAGGTCGAATGTCAAAAGATTGTTTTTGAATGACATAACACACGCCATTATTTTAAATGATATTGTTCCTTCTTTTCACTAAATGTGGATGAATCACAAAAAAATCATATTCCTATGGAAAAACATGTGCCATTGAAATAATTTGTGATATATAAATTGCCAATGATAAAAAGAAGGGCAAATTGTTCTAAATGCTGTCCAAACGACAAGCGGAAAAGAATTTGAAATTTGAAACTTTATAATGAAATATCATGGTTTGTTCACATTTTCATTATCAAATTCGTGTTTCTCAGACAAAAAATACGTAAATACCTAAAAAGATTTTGAAAAAAAAAAACCATCGCATGATAAGTGCAGTTCTACCCTTTTTTCAAACAGAACTTTCAATATTGAAAAGGAATATTCTCAGATATGATTATGAACATAAGAAAATGGATATATTTATGAAGAAATACATTGAGAATTCGCATTCTCCATGTGATGAAAATATCAATTCTTTCTCGGTCTATTCACCAGAAAACAACTTTCCTGGCTATATACAGTGTCATTCATAAAGTCGGCATCATATGGGAAAAACTTTTATTAATGACTTATTTTGGAATTCGAGTTGGACGTTGAGTTTTGATTCAAAAACGATGCAAAACGGCCTAATCAATCGGGGCCACGTGACTTTCGCTACATGTCAAAAGTGACGTTTTTTCAAATTAATCGCTGAAAGTTTGATTTTGTTAGTTGTTTTCATTTCAATTTACATATGCTTCTCGAATTTGATCTTTCTATTGCAACTTTTAGACTTTGATTTTTTTTTTAATTTTTCGAAATTTCTGTAATGTTTGAAGAATTGTTAATTCCACAAAACTACTTCATACCAGTAGCTTTTTCATGCTAGTTACTTTCAATTACTTATTATCACTGATTATGGACAGAAATATGATTTTCTTCAGAAAATGATAATACCCGCTTCCAAATTCTATTACGTTTGATGCAAAATTGATATATCGTCAAGTATTAAGAAACGAAATTCATTTAAACTGATATTTTCAGTACTGAAAAAATGAATTTAAATGAATTTCGTTTCTAAATGCTTGACTCAAACATAACAGAATTTTGATGTTATGTTTGCATCAAACATAACAGAATTTTGAAGCGGAGATTATCATTTTCTGAAGAAAATCATATTTTTGTCGATAATTAGTGATAATTAGTAATTGAAAGTAAGTATCATGATGAAGCTACTGGTATGAAGTAGTTTTATCGAATTTACAATTTTTTTAATATTACAGAAATTTCGAAAATTTTTAAAAAATATCGAAATCTAAAAAATGTAATAGAAAGATGAAATCTGAGTCACGTATGTAAAATATAAATAGAAACAACTTTGTCAAGTGAACTTTTTCGATATTCGAACAAATAAGCCTACTTCCAGCGATTAATTTGAAAAAATGTCACTTTTGACATGTAGCGAAAGTCACGTGACCCCGATTGAGTAGTTCATTTCTTTATCTTGTTTGAAGCAAAACTTAACGTCCAACTCGAATTTCAAAATAAGTCATAAATAAAAGTTTTTCCCATATATTATGATGCCGACTTTATGAATGACACTGTATATGCCACGACGAACATTGAGTAAGTAATTGAAATTATCTTAAAAGAAAGACTGTACTCATACTTGTGTGGCCAGTGGCCAGGTAGCCGTGCGGACAGAGTGTCTATATTCTAATTCGCATTCGCTTGCCGGTCGTGGGTTCGATCCCCGTCGACTGCAGAAATTTTTCTGATGGCCCAAGAAAGTGTTTGGGATCACACGTTAAAAGGTAAGGCCCCCGTCATTCCTTGCTCGCACAAAACTTTCGAAGACTTTTGAGGGTTGCTCGTAAGGGGGCAACCGAATGACGAATAGAACAAATTTTAGAACAAAAAAATTTTAGAACTTTGAAACTAGACTTTATTTCAGTGGGTCACAATATGGCATCCGCATAAACAAATCCACAACTCAGGCTGCCTTCAGAATTGTGACAGACATAGTGGAGGGCCTCGATCAAGGTAGACATACTTCATTGACACTGTGTGATTTGACGAAGGCCTTTGACTGCGTATCGCACACTCTGCTCATTGAAAAATTGGAATACTACGATATAAGGGGCATTGCCTTGCAGCTGCTTCGTTCGTACCTCCACAACAGGATTCAGTGTGTGGAACTGAATGATGTTAAGTCTGATTACAAACTAATGGAACATGGGGTACCACAAGGCTCGGTCCTTGGACCATTTTTATTCATCGTTTACATCAACGACTTATGTCATTTTATTGCGCCTACCGAATGTATCCAATTTGCCGATGATACAACTCTTGTATGCTCAGGAAAATCATATACGGACCTTATTGAATCTGCATCAACAGAACTAATTTCAGTCAAAAACTGGTTCAATCAGAATTAACTCAAGCTCAATGAAAACAAAACTCAGAATTTATTGATTTCCTCGAATTCAAACTCTCAAGAGGGAAAAAGTGTGAAATTCCTAGGCCTCACCATAGACGACAGACTGAGTTGGTCCAATCATGTTGATTGTTGATCATGTAGTACGAAAGTTATCCAGCGCTCGGTTTGTACTAAGACAATTGAAATGTTTAACCAATCTTGGCATCTTGAGGATTTCATATTTTTCATTATTTCATTCTGTACTGTCATACGGTATTTTACTCTGGGACAAATGCTATAGCAGTTTTCAGATGTCCGAAGAAAGCTATACGAATACTGGAAAACTTAGGCTATAGAGATCACTGTCATCAACATTTCATTAAGCTTGGTATCATGCCAATGCTTACCTTATACATATTCACAGTTTTACAAGAAATACACCAAAATGTGAGTAAATTTGGTAAACAGTCTGACTTCCATAGTCATAATACAAGATCGGCTAATTTATTGAGAACCCCACGACACAGATTAGCTGTTAGCTGCAGAAACTCTTTGAATTTCAATATTTATAATATTCTCCACAGCTCCGTCAAAATGTTGTTATTCAAAAAATTCGAATCTGTCATCAAACAGTTCCTTTTAAGCCATTGTTTTTATAATATTGATACCTATATGGAGTCAGCAAGTTCACTGAAGCTTCAACCTGTCATTTATCAATCCCTTCAACAGGACATTGTTGTTTTTATGTTTTGTTCTTATTTATTTTTATCTTATTTTTTGTTTTATATATTTTATTCAGATCATT